ATTTTTATTATTTAATTACTAATTTTATTATTTAAATTCTTTAATTTGAATTTTTTTAGGAAAGTTTTCATAGTGTACATACTTTCTTTTCCTATTATTTACTTCTTCATAACTGTTGTGTGGTACATATCGTTTTACTGTAATCGTTAATCGTTTATCGCTTATCGCTAATATTGCATTTATTTAAAAAACAATATTTCAATGCGTTTCGTTGACAACAATCGCACATGATTTTAGTACTACACAATAATTAATGCTAAATAATGCTTCATTTAAACAAGTTTAAATAAATTTTATAGTTACCCGCCAGCTCTGTGAGCAGACCGATTTTACAAGACTTTTGTGAACCGTCAGCTCTCTGTTTTAAAAGTTTTGTTAAGTTTTTAACGATGCTTTTTTTTAAATGCTAACTAAACTTAATTGCTAAACATATATTTTCTAAATTTTTACATATTTTTTGTATCGATATATGCAATTTTTGCACAATCTGCTGCACTAGTTGTGTTTAGGAAGGTTATGCGAACAACTGTTACCAACTTTTACGCCAATCAGCGTTTTACCGCTTTGTTATCAATGAAAATCATATAATAATATAATTTTGCAATATATTTGCCATGGTGGGCTGCATTGTAATAGTTTTGTTTATATACAAAGAATTGTAATTAATTAAAAGTAATTTGTAGCTACATATGTATATTATACTAATTCTTCTCAACATTTTTGAGCTTTGATTTTTAATCAACATTTTTTTACAGCTAATCACAGAGTTGATGATTTTTAGAGACAAATTTGCAACTTTTACAGTGTTGCATTTACATAACTGTAAAAAGAAACAATTGTTTCTGTTGTTTTAATTTTTCAGAAATTGCATGTCAACAACTGCGCTAGTCTAAGGTTGATGCCATCTGTACATACATACATATATATTTTTTGCATATTTTACTTAAAACTATTTTTTTCATTTTGCATTTAATAATATTAGTTTTTCATTTACTATCTTTCGTTGAAAAACTCAAAACAGAAAGTAAATTGTTCGAATTTAGTGCTAAACATTTATACAGTTAGTGGTATAGGTAAGCGAATTCCCTAAAAGTTGGCAGAAGCGGCCCACTATCATAACTACAGAGTTGTATGTAGTAAGGGTTAACTGAAAAGTTCATAGTTGTTATGATGCTATGCTCTTCGCACGAATTTTGCCTAACCGAAAAAAATATTATAATTTAATAGCAGAAGTATTTTTTCAAGTGTGTGAGCTATTAAAGCGCCGGTTTAGTGTTCGGCTAAATGATAACAAATGCTGATTGGTGGTGAATTTTGTTGAATTCAACAAATTTGTGTTGTTTTGCCTTTTACATAAATTTCCTATGTTGTTAGTTCTGAAACGAAGCAATTTCAATATTTTTCGAAAGTAAAAATCGCGTATTTCAACTTTAAACTAATGATTTTATGCGAAATATTGGGAATTACATGGTGTAAACAAGCTATAAATGGTGCAGAACTTTGCTAAATTCATAGTTTTTTTTTCTCAAAAGGGCTAGTGGGTTTTTAATACATATTTCAGTGTAGCACATTTAAAAAAGTTTTGAAGGAGAAATTTGTAACATTTTCAGTTACATTTGAAACTGTAGTGCAACAAAATTAAGCTGGTCACGATTTCCGCTGGCTTTTGAGTTCTTCGAGTTAGTGATGCTGAGAAAGCATGAGTTTTTTTTGCTATAGGTTAGGTCGAATTGTCTTTATTTGTGGCAGAAAAGGTTTTAAAAAGTCCACTAAGATATTTCAAACTTTTTGCGACTGGTTTTGAGTTCGTAGGTTTAAGTATTCTATAAAATAAAGTTTCCTTGAAATGAACCACTGCTGTATGCAACAAATTTAGACTTAGAAGACACATTTCTATATACAATTTGCCACTAAAATATTTCAATTCTTGCGCATACTTGTTAGGAGGCCTATATAGCTAACTACTAAAATTCCATTTACTTAGTACATAAATATTAACTTAATCTAGCACAGTACCTTCTAGCTTATAGTATTTAATTCCATTTATCCATCCGTAGAGGAGTGCGGTGACTTTACCAGCAGCAATTCTTTGTAGTCTGAATCCTCATTGCCGCTGTTATCACGCTGATCCATGCGCCTGCGCTCCGAAATGATGCGCATTATATCGGCCGAGTCAGATTTGCTTAAAGCAAGCTGTTCCACGACCGCAGCTGTAGCGCCATTGCCATTGGCGGTGGCAATGCGATTATTAGCGCCGCTACAGCTATTATTGTTAAGTTTGTCGTTAGTGTTGTGCATGTTGCCATTACCATTGCCGTTGGCAGTTGTGATGCCACTGCTGCTGTTGGTTGCATTGCCATCACAGCTGCTCTCGACCACAATAGGCAATAGTAGAGTGTTCTCATCCATATCGGGATCTTCGTCGAGTGCTTGTTGCTTAAATAATTGTTTTGTGCTGCCACTACGGCTGCGTGGTGGCATGCTACGCGGTACGGACAGTAAGCCGCCGCGTCCGCTACTCGAACCGCCAACAATAGACGCATATGCTTGATCGGTGGAGAGTGAACGTCCATAGGCGCGACGTGGCGCCGCTGCGTTAGCTGTTGTGCCAACGCTCGGCAAAGCTGCCGTTGCCACATTTGTTGATAAGGGTGTTGTTATAGGTGTTGTGATCTTTTCACTGATCACGCTGGCGCTCACAATGCTCAGCGCATCGGAGGCGCCACTACCGTGTGCTGTAGCTTTAGCTGTCGCAGCTACGTCTTCGCTGCGTATGCTACGCACATCATACGTTGAAGAGGGGCTACCGCCGCCATCCGATTCGAGACTTTCGAAAATAGTGCCACGCCGATAATCGTTGGTATCGCCGCCCCATGGCAGCGAGTCACAACTCATACGCTTCGATTCGAGCGTGCGTCGGCGTATGGCCTGCTCATCGAGAGAGCGCTCTTTGGCGAGCAGGCCGCGTTTACTACGGAACGCGGTCGAACTGCGACGCCCACGCCGTCCCAGTGCACCGGCGGTCGGTTGAAGTTGGAGTTTTGTATCGAAGCTGTTCTCCGCAGCTGATGCGTTAAGACGCGCATTGAGCGCTTGCGGTGCGAGTAGTGCACCACTTGCGCCAACACCACCGCTACCACCAGCCGCAACATTGCTGCCAACAGCAGCACCTACACCGGCGCCAATTTGTGTGCCGCGTCCCAGTTCGGCCAAACCAATACTATTCGGTTGATTGATGTATTGCACGGTTTGACGGCGGCCAGCAAGGCCGGCGGCTCTAACACCACCACCGATGCCGATGCCGCTCAACACGCTTGGGAATTTCTTATCCAGCGATGGCGTGCTGTAGGTAAAGTTCTTCGGCAACGATTTGATCTTGTTCAGCTGGCGTGCTGGTGGTGGCGGTTGCGTCTGCTGTTCTAACTGCTGGCACAGCTTCTGTTCGCTCTCAAACTCCTGCTCGCGCACAAGTTCACGCTCTAGCTCTACTTCCATGTCCATTTCGTCTTCCATCTGTTTGTGGCTCTCCTCGAGGTGTTTCATCAGTACAGCCACGACGACATTCACCAATACGAACTGCGCCATTAGAACGAATATCACAAAGAATATTGGAGCTATGACCCGGCTAACGCAACAATCGCGCACGCAATCATCCGCATCATCACAGTCCTCTCGCAGTGTATCCTTCATGATCCCGTTCCAGTTGTCGCCAGTCGCTACGCGAAACAATGTGAGGAAAGCCATCCCGAAATTGGCGAAATGTGCATGTTCACCTAAGCCTTGACATGGATTACGTTCGGAGCATTCTAGGCGACCGAACAATTCCACGCCAAGGGCGGCGAAAATAAAGAAGAGCAAAAAGAAGAGCAGGCCCAAATTGCCGACTTGCGGCAAAGCCTGCATCACGGTGTCGAGCAGCGCACGCATACCCTTAGCCATTTTGAGTAGTTTCAGCACACGCGCAATACGCAGTACACGCATAACGCGTATTATCGTCGGATTAATTGGTATTTTCTGCGTATGCCATTCCTCCAAAATAATGCCGGATACCGATAATAAAACAATTCCCACGTCGAGTTGATTCCAACGATCCTTCAGGTAAACCGGCCAACCAAGCGCCAACACTTTCATGCTCGCCTCCAATATGAAGACTGCCGTGAAGAAATAGTTGAAGACCTTCAGCGCATAGATTAGTGGCTCCTTCATGCCATAATACTCCAACGCCATGGTGACTACATTCAGACCGATCACAGCGGCTATAGCCAAATCGAAGTATTTCGATGTGACAACATTATGCACGAACATTCGTGTCGGCGAATAGTTTATATAGTATGGTGGCTCGTGCATACGTTTGCGTTTCTTCTCCATTTGTAAAGCGCGTTTAGCGGCGCGTCGAATTTTCTCCTCTTTTTCCTGCTCCTCGCGGCAACGATGGAAATTCTCAACCACCACGCCGACAAACATGTTGAGCACAAAGAAACCGACGAGCAATATAAATGCAATGAAATAGAGTAGACGCCATTCATTGTAATTGACAATTGGTTGCATGTCCTCGCCCACAGCATCCAAACCGGTATACATAATATTCACCCAACCGTCACGTGAGCTCAATACGAATAATGACATCAATGCATTGCCAAGATCATCGAAGTTATATTTGCGATTCTTCCACTCATACCCCTGTTCATAGCAGTCCATTTTTGTGCGTACTGTTTTAATATTCTCGCCCTCACAGTAGTAGAAGGTGCCCTTGAAGAGTTGCACGCCCAAAATGCCGAATATGATGAAAAATGTACAGCAGATCAGCACGATGTTGCCAATGGGTCGTAGGGACGATAAGAGCGTTTGCACGACTAATTTCAGACCCGGGGCGCGGTTGATCACACGCAGCGGCCGTAGGGAACGAAGTAGTCGAAACACCTACAATGAGATAATGGGCAAAGTGTTGGACGAGCGATTGGTGCGGTGATCGGGAGCAGGAGGGGACACAAAATAAAACAGTTTTCGTTCGGGTTTTTTAGTTAGATGGTGTCAATAAGAGTGTGGTGAATATGAGTACAATGTTGGGTGGTTTAATTATTAAGGATTTTGGATTAATAATTAAGGGAAGTAAATTTTTTTAGTATTTTAGTTGGCATTTACGGATACCAACGTTTTTTGGGATAGCGGTGAAAATTTGTGTGGTGAATATATGAAAGTTTAATAGGTAATTTTGTTGTTTATCGTATTAGTAGTTGGAAAAGTAATTTAGTTTGAGAATTGTTGTTTAATTTAATATTTTTTAAAATAAAAATGACAAGGAAATTGGTTTTATTTTTTTTTTTAACGAGTTAATAAATGTGTGGTGAATATAAAGATATTAAATTAGATTGTTTTGATGATGTTTAGTCGTAAGTGTGGTTTTATTTGAGAATTTTTGAGTTATACAATTTTTTCGTCATCACGGAGTATGGTGTGGTGAATATTGACAAATTATGATAAACGGTTTTGGGTTTATAAATATACATAGGAATTTTAAAAATAATAAGGAAGGTGATTTTTTTGAACGAGTAAATATTAGTAGTAAGCAGAATATAGGTGTGGTGAATAAAATGAAATTATGTTAAATAATTTATGATTATTTTCGTAGGTGTAAAGATTGGTGTGGTGAATTTTAGAAATTTGAGTTAAATCATTTATAATTAATACATGAAGAGAGTTAGGATAGGATTAATTATTCAAAACATAAGATCGGGGGTGGGGGGAATTTGAGATATATTTAATATTGTTAGAAGGAATTAGGAATATTCATAACCAATCGTTGCAAGTCCATGAGATATATGTATGTATGAAGAAAAAAGTTTTTTAAAATTAGTAATAATTTGTAAAATATTTATAACATTAATTATTAGCTACAAACTAACAAGCGCAGGGTTTAAGAAAAATGCGAGAAAAGGTCAAGGTTGCCTTTTTTTGCAAATTTTTTATATTTGCATTTTTTTGGGAACATTTAGATTTTCTTAAAGAATAGAACGCAATAATTTTACAAATTTCTATTAACCCCCAAAGCATCACATATACAAATATACATATTGTAAAATAAACAAAATAACAATGAACGCACCTACATTTTGTAAAACGTAAACACCTTACAATAATAAATTTACAGTAAAGAAATATGTATTAAAAATTTTTTGGAAAGGTGAATTTACTACAATGCGTTAAAATTATTATTTTTTTAATAAAAATTTAAGCTCACTGTGGTTGGAAGTTAAGCTTAAAGGTGAAAGGTTTTAGAAGTTTGAGTTAATTTTGAAGATAAATTATCGAAACGTGCAGAAAACGTAAACAAAAATTTAAGTCAGAAAACTACTTTTTGAAATAAAATTATTTTACACCAAATTTGCATATACAAATAGACAAAATTTCAACAATTTCAAAAAATTACACGCATAAATAGCTGTAAAAATATTTTAAATGAGTTTTTTTTTTGTTGCTTTCAATGATTTTGATATATATTTTCAGCCATAACATCAAATCACTATTTTTCTTATTGTTCCCTTGATGTTAACATATGTAGCTAACTCAACTAGGAAAAAATTATGATCTGTCCAAAGGAAAATGTTTTCGTCTAAGTTTTTAGATTTTTTTTTTTAAATTTCTTGTGTTATATTTTAAAATTGTTAGAATTCCTATCTATTGAAGCCTTCGTTACCTATTTTGCTGTAAAGTTTCAGTGTATTTTGAAACTCAAAACACGTCTGTGTGGATAATATCAGTATAGTTGATTTTTTCAATTTTGTGAACCAGTGTTTTTTGGCTAAAGTCCACTAGATACAAAGTTCCTAATCTCCTTCAAACCATGTACATTTTCCTGTACATCATTATCGTCCTCAAAATAAAATCCTAAGCACAATTTTTTCATACTGTATCTTAACTTTTTTTTTAAAATATTTTGTCTGCCTTTAAAAATGAGTTCCCCGTTGTTAACCTTTCTACAAAATCAGCAAGCGCTCAGCTATAAGCTTGCTAAGCTATAAGTACATCATCGCTGCATATATGTATATATATATATATATATATATCTATGCATTTATATAAATTAAATCCGTTAATCAATATTTACTGTCCGCTACTTACCCTTAAAATCCCAAATATCTTAGAGCTCGATTGGCTAAACAATGACATTAATAAATCAATGATTGATATTGTAACCAATGAGCCATCCATAATATTCCAGCCGGATGTGAAGTATGCATCGGGTCCATAAAACATGCCTGTCGATACCACCTAGCGAAAAAGAATTCAAAATTATTAAAGCCAATGTGACTTTCAGAACTAATATAGTGGCTGCAAGGCTCAACAGTAAGCTGTTAGTGACAGAAAATAGAAAACGGGTAAAATTTGTAGTAAATTTTCACAGTCCTCGACAGGTTCCAGACTCTTATTGTAGCATTCGGTATGTGTAGACGATCTTGTAAGTTACCAACAGTCCTTAAATTGCTCACAGTTTTCATAAACAATTTTTTCACCTAAAAAATGCACCGTCGGAGATTTGGTTCTAAATCTTATATCTTTTAAATGTGAGACTTTGTAGTATTATGTTGAGGTTGGGTTAGGTTAAAAAGGCCGATCCTTTCACAATCGCCAATCTTACTTAGATAGCCTTGAACGCCGTTCTGTTGTGATACCTAAAACTGTTTTACAAATTCCTTACAACTCGACAAATGCACCCGGAGGCTCTAAATCTTATCTGTTTTAAGTATGTATTAAAACTCCTCATTCTCAGTCTCAACTCATCTCAACTTCCAGCATACAACTTTGGCAAATTGCGTCTGTAAGATATTGAGGATATTGAATTTTATTCTGTATATAGCGATAAGATGCGTCTTGCCTAGATCAAGTAGTTTATTGAATCGCAAGCGTTCTACTCTACCTCAGAAGGATCTCGCAGTCGCACAATACCTGTTCATTGACCTACACCTGTAAAGCTTATTTGTCTTCATCTTCTCTCTTCCCTTCCCTTGCATCCATTTTCACACGGATTTCATCGTTCCCTTTCGTTTCAAAATTAGCACCTAAATACGAATCGCTTTTAATTCATCCTTTTTGAACATCACTACAATTAGACTAATTAACCATCACTTCTAGCGGAGTCAGACTCATTCATTGGTTGCCAGCTGCCAAACATTTACCCAAGAATACCAACATTCAAAGGGCGTCTATTCGACATTCAAAGTCGACACATTTTCCCAAAAGCAAAGTCGCAAAGATCAAAAGCACTCGTGGCAAATACCAAAGACGAGTGGTACAATTTGCACAGCACAGCTGGAGAGCGGTGCAAGCAACATCAAACACTCTGGCCTTTGGATTTCGCACACGCTGTGCCAGGAAAGTACCGTAACTGCAACCGTTAGTTGCCGAAATTTTAACGCTATTATTATTAAAGCCGGGCACTGGATTCGACAGTAGGGCTTAATCAAAGGAGACCGCTGCTGCGGTAAATGTGCAGTTTGAGGTTACACGAAATGGTTGGATACAGAAGTCACAAAGGAAGACAGTTATACTCTGACTTACATATATATGTATGTACATATGTAAATGCAGGAGGCAGTCAACCAATTGCGTTGCTGCTTAGTGAGCGCTTTTCGTATTATCAATGTTGTTGTTATTAAAGCTGGACTTACCTTAATGAGCATTTCCACTGTAAAAATTGCTGTGAACACGTTGTTGGCTGTAGCAAGGAATAAACGCTCGTGACTCGTTGGCGGTATATTTGGTCGTTCCATAGCCAATGTAATACAATTGAGTGCGATAAACAGCAGGACAACATTGTCGAACCATTTCTGTTCAACAAACCACGTACACAGCTCACGGAACCTGTTGAGCATGGAAAAAACAGTGACAAAATAAGTGTAAATGCAAAAAAGTAAATAAAAATAAATGTGAATGAGTATACGGAGGAAATTTGGGCATTGGCAGAAGTTGGACCGCATTACCTGCGAGAAATGTGAGCTCAGACACCAAGCAGTGATATCTTGTCCAATTTCACAAACTCTGTAAAAAGATAGTGCCTAAAAGAGAACATAAACATGCCAGCCCCAGACTTGACACTTGCAATGCACCGATTATGGAAAGTATTTAAGGATTTCTGATTAGAAAGTCTGTAGAAAACCTTGACTCAAGTCAAGGAAGAAAGTCTGTAGTCTTACTGCCTATTGGTATGCACCATTGTATGAGCTAACACTCTCGCAAGAAGCAGAGCTCCAGAGCTCGGGACGGTTACCATATATACCGAGTTCTTTTCTGGAGCAGTGTTGATAAAGATTTCTGAGTTGTCGGCTTTCAAGTGTAGAAAATAGCATCAAAGAATACTTTGAACAGGATAATAGGGAAAACGAATACCCATTAGGTTTTCGGTTTCATTTCATGCGTATTAAAAGTTTTAGAGCCATGAAAGAGGAAGATAAGGGTTTCGAGAACAATATTAAGCATTCAAGGGATCTTAGAATGTAATACGGGTGTAACGTGGATCCGTTAGGTGTTGCTCCTCTACATAAGATGATCGATTGAAAAGATTTAAGATTGCCGATTCTGATGATATCTCTGAGATTTTTAATGGAATTTGGCTCGTTCCATGTTTTGTAGTGCAGCAAGCTTTGTCTACTTTTTAATGTTCCACACCCTACAACCATAGTTATTCCCTAAAGGGTTAATGAAGCATTACAAATGCCTGTGACCACCTGCTGTTCGAATACTTGAAGCCAATTACATTGTCAAATAGTAAGTCGAGCCGTAAATGGATTTTCTGTCGCTGGTATTGAGCTTACGACTGTATAAATGTACGAATTGCAGACTAAGGAAGATTGCTGCAGGTATTTCCTACATCTTTTATTTGAATATACGTATGTATGACTGGTCACGTGGATAGCCAACTCATTGAGTTGACCCCTGACTGGTTGCATTCACAGCTGGATACTGTTGGGATTACGGAAGCGAATAATCAGCATGCGTGTATCTACATATGTCTATGTATCTGTGTTATCTGCCCACTACATGCTCGTTTGGCGAAACGAACTTTCACAAACAGGATGCATAACTACCCAGCAAAAACTATCTCATTGCTGAGGAAAGCTTACGACTTTCATTTAAGTTCTTGTTGTTGCTGTTATTGCATTCATAGTAATAGTATTACTAGCAATGAGCCCTTACAAAATAGCAGCTGAATTAAATGCTTGACTGCACTCATTGTGCAAAAAACCACAATGGCCTTGCGCTCTCAATGCGAGAGAGCGACGAAGCGGCATAAAAAGTAACAGGTGAATATGTAGAAAAGCGGTGTAAAAAAGTACGTCATTTTTTCTAACGGATTATAAGCTTCAAGTGTTGATGTAACTTTTCGTAATTGTAGTCTGGTTGGTATTACGAAAATTCAGCTTCACAATGCGCAAGCGACCGCTGAAAATAGCAGACAACAGTGTTGGCATAAATGGTTTTACCACGAATTTTATTGTCACTACGAAATTTGTGGCAAATTTGTGGTGTGGCGATTTATTTTATTTTGGTGAAAGTGAAATGCGGGGTCCAAATGAACTTTTTACTCGAAATACGTATAGAATATATTTTTGAAACTAAATTTGCAGTTATAAGCGGCTTTAGAGTATCTCCGCTTGCCTGAAAAGGGATTATTGACTACAATACGGAACTTAAAATATTTTACAGACTACCTTAGTAGAATATTGTAGCCTTTACTTCTTCCGAAAAGCCTTTTGACATTGATCCCACAGCAAATTGACAAAGTTGTTGAACTTAAGCTGTTATGACAGACTTATATTAGTAGAGGTACTGGTCTAAAATATGACTGCAGGAGAGACAAAAGGCTATTCTTAAAACTAGCGATGCTCCTGCATTCATTTGTTTGTCCTTAAAAAAATCCTTTAAGCCAGCAATGAAGTATTGAGTTCATGGAATTTACAGACAACTTCATTCCAAATATTTTTTTCTAAGGCTAAGCCCTTACCAATGTCGGAATTATGGAGCTTTTGACGGCCTTGTAGGTCTTATAGGTATTGAATTTTGGCAATTCAGAGAACATTTCTAGATTGAGGTGCTACTTATAATAGAGATATATTGTTTAAGAAAAGGGAAATAAAAATAGGTGGAAATTTTATGCTCTTGTGGACCCACTGGTATCTTGCTCCTTATGGCGGCGTCGTCCGCCTATGGTAAAATCCATCTGTTGATTCGTAGAAAGTGTATAGGATTTTGGATTTTTCTTACACTTATTAGCGAACCCAGAACTTTCGTTAAAACAAAATCTTTTCATCAAACCACTTACCTATTGTCTTCCGCGAATATGTACAGCGAGTATGACTCTCTTTGTTCGGTGAGGTTTGTCGGTTTTAAGCGTTCGATCAGTATTTTTAGCTTACTCATATGACCAGAGCTCTGCATACGCGAATGCTGTTCAGCGCTCAAATATTGTGGATCTTCCAGCTCGTTTTCTTTTTGTTGCTTTTGCTGCGGCTGCTGCTGTCGCGAATAGTGACTAATAGAACCCTTACGCTTCTCACGCTCCTGTATGTATTGTTGCAACATATCCGGCTCCGGGAGATTCATATACGAATTCTGCCACTTATCCAAATCGAGTTTGGAGTTCGTGTACGACATTGACTTGCGATTCGCCTCCAAATTATGTAAATTCAATTGCGAACTCTTGCTGAAGGCCAACTCAAATGAAGACATACGCCGGTGAGCAGCTGAGGGCGCATACAATTTGGGCGGTTGGTTCAGGTTTTGATAGAGTTGCGAGTTAAAGATGCACGCAGAGGCACGACGGCTACCCAACGGCGGTATGCTGCCAATACTAAGTGTTGTGGAAAGACGACGTATTGAGTTTTGTGGACTTAGTCGATTTGTATCTTTCGTCTTTTGCTGATTCGTCTGATTGTTGGCTGTGAGTGTTGCGCCGCTGGCAGTCGGCGTACGCGACGGACTGAGAAACGCATCCGAACGCATAGCGCCGCCGCCGCCTCCATTGCAATGTGGAGCCAGTAGAAAGGAGTTGTCACTGCCATTGTTTAGCTGCTGTTGTTCGTCATCTTCGGCACCACTGCCAGCATCGGCAGGCTTCTTCTTACGTTTCGAACTGCTGCGTCTGAAACGCTTTAGGCTCGGTATACGCTGCATGCCGGACAGCGATGTGCTGATAGTCGCTGAAGCGTTGGTAGACGGCAGTGTGGGCGGCGTTTCAATGCTGCTGACTTGTGAGGCATTCGACGGCGTTACCAATGCTGCTGCGGTAGTAGCGCTCGACGTTAAGGATATAGCACCCGTGGTAGCGACAACGGCGGCATTCAGTGGCGATATTTCGATGCTGCTCACTGCGTTGCCGCCACCACATCCGCTAGTAGTGCCATTTGTGGAACCTGCGCCGGTGCCGATGCCTGTACCAGCCGGTAGCGCCATGCTGGGTGTGGACACGGTCGAGATTGTTGTTGGCACAAAGATTGGACCCGAGGCGCTAGCATCAGAATTCTTCGAAATATCATCTATGACAACACTATGCATACTATTATTGCTACTTAGGGCACTAGGGTGTAAACTACTACTGTTAGACACTAAATTACAGTTGCTTAGATTAGTATTGCTTCCTTGTAGTTGGCTGGCGTTTAGTATATTCAACGGTTTGTGCGTTAATACCGGTGATGGTGGTATAAGATCAATTGACGGTATGCCCTCGTCGAGTGAGCGTTGACCGCCGCTAAAAATGGTGGGTGGTCTGAGTAATGACGGCGAACCAGGGCACTGTAGGTAAGATAGAGAAAGAAAGCGCAAATGCCGTTACGTTAATGAAAAAGTTTGATAAAAAGTAAACAACATCCAGCATACTCATTATTCTATAGAAAATGTATTAGCAAAGACGCAAACCAGCAAAATGGCGTGTTCACTTCATTACAAATATCAAAGGCTTGCACCAAGACTCAAGTCAAAAGCGTTTGTGCGGCAAAAGCAATTTGAAAAAAATTCTGTTTTACTTTACCTTTTTATTGCTATACATCTTTTTCGTCGTTTCGTTTAGTAATTAGGAAGTTTAAACAGAAAATCAAACTGTTTGCATATGAAGCGTCGCCCACGCTTAAAGCTTACCTGATTGCCAGCGCCACTGTCTGCGATCTCCATTTCTTGCGGATTCCAACTGCGAAAGCTCATGCCGCCGTCCAGTGTGGTGTTGGGCGAGTCTTGTGGCGTTGCGGCGGTCGTAGTAATTATGGGCGGTTCACGCAATGGGCGTATACGTGAAAGTCGTGGTGCATCGCCGCGACGCTCTCTTATAGAATATGTCTGGACAGGAGAGGAGAGTAGAAAACATATTTATGAAAGCAGAAAATGATATTCCGCAACTGTTCAACCCACTAACCGACTGGTAGTACAAGCACTCAATATGTGCGCCAGTACTGAGTGAGAAAGTAGTACTTTTGAGCATAAATTTATTTAAACACTTCTTACCTTTTTTAAATTCTTATTCTTGTCATCCTCCATCGACATTTTGCTACTGCCATCCTTATCGCTGGATTTACGCCCACTGCCGCTACCCGAACCACTGCTTCCACCACCAACACCACTCAAATAACTCTCATTAATTTGATAATCTTGTGTGGGCTGTAGTAGCATACGTTGATGTTGTTGCTTTTGCATATTACTTTTCGTTTCCAAAATCAACTCGGTTGCATCTTGTAGCTACGTTACGTGTGGGAATAGAGAAATTAGTTAGAGCAAAAGTTTATGAAGAGCAAACTCGTAATGCTATTGCTTGCGGTGACTGAGTGGAGTTGTGTGTATTGAGTTGGGTGGGGTGAGAATGAGTGGGGTTTTATGTTTAAGATAAGTTTTTCTGTTTTCAGCGCTGATTTGATGGAGTGCGAGTGGAATTCGGTGTATTGAGCGAATGAGTGCGATTTTTAATATTAGACAAGTTTTTCTGTTTTCAGCACTGACTTGAGTGAGTGAGAGTGGCTTTTCACTTTGGTTGTTAGCACAAAAATAGAGTATAAAAATGACATATTGTATTTTTAGCAAAATTAATGAGTTTAAACGTGAGTTTATATCTTCTAAACATCAGTTGTGTGAGTGAAAATATTTTATTCATTAAGAAAATATTAAATTGTAATTGGCTTGTATTCTTGTATTCGTAGTGCCAACTATGTGTTAGGACAATGAATCGAACATGTTCTTCATATGTGGTTTTAGTTCAATATGAGTGAGATTTTTTGGAACATGAACAAATATTCATATAAAGGATGAATTCTATCTTAATTGGTACTTGGAAAAAGTTTAAAAAGTGTTTTCATGTAAAATTCTGGCTTGATTGAGTGAATATTTTGACTATTTTGAAAATGATTTAATTAATTAGGAGAATGAAATGGGTGAAAATATGTGTGATTTTGTAATAATGTAAATAAAAGTTTGTAAACTGAAAGTTTCAGATTAGTATTTGAGGATTAAGCAAAGTGAAAAAACTTTGTTGATTAATATAATTGATTAAAATAAAATAAAATTATTAGAAAATGTAAAATTGTATAATAAAAAATTATGAGTTGAATTGAGTCTACAGAAAGTAAAAGAACTAGTATTTGATTAGTGTGATTAAAGTAATTTACTTCCTGTTAATGTTTAAATTCTTATTCTTTCTCGCTCTCATATTTGATATTTCAAACTTGCTCACATGCTCCCTTTCTCATTTATTAAAAAATAGTTTATATGAGTTAAGTAATGATTACTTCTTGTTAAATGAGTTTAAGTGCCTCTACTTGCTCTTTCTTGCTCTCATATTTAATATTTCACATTTTCTCACTCTCCCTCTCTCTGATTTATGCTCTTATAGACTCACTTGATATATAAAAAAAAATGTTTAGTACGAATACAGTATTGATTACTTCTTGTCTAAATACTACTTCATGCTTTTTCACTCTCTCTCATTTATTAAAAAATAATAATATAAGTAATGTAATGATCGTTTCTTGCTAAATGATTTCGATATATTTTTAGTCTTTTGACAATCTTTCATACTCTCTTTTCTTGTATATCATATTTCCGCTTTCACACTATCTCCCATTCATACTTTTACATACTCATAGTGTCTTAGCAAAATTGTGAGCTTCGAGCTCTACTTACTTTTCTTACATCCTCGGCGCTATGCCACCGATTTCGTACCTCATAGTAACTTTCATTGGTCGATGTTGAGTCGGCTTCACTGCTACGCGATTCATCGTACATAGCATCGCTGAAATTCTCCGCCAGCGTCTCTTCGCGTAATTTTTTCACTAACTCACGTTGTTCACGTTCGCGACGTTCATTTCGCTGAGGGAATCAGAGAATTCAAAGAATTAGAATTTTCGCCAGCCGCACGCTAACGCGACGCGCCGCCAAGAACAGTTGAGACGCACACACGCATGAACGCGGCTTTGGGGGGTTCGGAAGGTACGGCAGTGTGGTGGGGACGGGTTACGCATATTGTAGTTATACATTTACATAAAGCTTATACATTATATATTTATTGTATGCTAGCTGTAAGGGAGGTAAGCTTCAAGCTTTAACTTGAGCGTGTGTGCGTTTTATGTGGGCATGGCTTGAAAATAGGCGCGCGAAGACGCGGCGGCGGTTGGGTTGTTGACGTTACGTATGGAATACGTGAAATGCGTTCAAAACCTTGGCTGGCATAAATAATTTTCCACAAAACAATTTTTCACTCGCTATTAATTGGGTGCGTTAGGGAAAAAGGCGTACGTACGTTGGAACAAGTGGGTTGCTAATTATAAATACATATTTTTTACAGTTATATACTATATGTGTATATTATTATTAATATTTTAAGTGCGTAAATAATTTGCATAAATATTTTCATTAAATAAATTGCTGCAGCAATAAATTGCCAAAGCCATGCATTATTGTGGGAAAAAAAATTATGTGGAAAATTATTTATAGCACCGGTGATTTGAAAAAATCTATTTTCTTACAAAGGAAATAAAATTTCTAGCTTTGAAATATTTTTTCATTAATTTTTTCATGCCTCCAATTTTTTAAAAATTTTTTACGGATTAAAAAAAATTTTTTTTATTTAAATTTTTTGTAAACATTTTTTTTTTTTTTTGTAAAACTCTACCTCTGAACTGAATCCCTCAACTAAAATGGCGACCAACAAATTAAATAGCACATAATTGCCGAATGTCATCAGCGCCACAAAATATAATGCGGCCCAATGACTTGTCTTTTCCATGCCATTGAATAGTACGACATTCCAATCCTCCTGCGTTAGAATCTACAAGCGCGTAGAGCATTCGAAGAAAAAACAAAAGTAAATACAGAAAATTGTATTAGCGTATGTACTTAGCACAAAAGTGTAGTATATTAATGGAACAAGACTAACAGACACGACTAGGAAATGAAAAGTAAAGGAAAGTGTTGTACAACATAAAAAAATACAAAGAAAAGCACACAAAATAAAAAATTTTTATATGAGCAAAATTTAAATTTATAA